CTTGTACGTTAAACATCATATATAAGTTTCCGACTTTTACGTAAAGAAAAGTTACTTAAGGAATGTTTACGCTCTCCCAACTTTGGTGTTTTCGGTGAAATATCTCAGATAAGAAGCTGTCGCGCAAACATTCCCGAGTCCACGATTTCTCAGACGATGTGCTGGTGTCGGAGGCGGAAATGTTTGGGAGTGCTTGCTTGATGAGGCGTACGACGGACGTGCGCGTATAAAGTGTTGCGTGTATATAAATATATATAATATATATATATATATATATATATATATATGCGGGGAAATTTTTTTCCGACGAGTTCTTCGCTCGGAGCGCTTAAGATTTCTGACCCGCTCCTGAATAGTTTGTTCTCACCTTTGATATGCAAATCGGCGTCGTTGTTCATGACGTTGTCTTGCTGCTTCGCCGCTGAATTTTAAGCACGCCTACCCGATGTCACGCAGCCTCCGTCGCGTTATCTTCTTAGCGGAAGTTCAGTGTCCTGCCTCGGTCCATTTAGAAAAGAAGCAGCGAACTTACGCGGCTTCCAACCTCGACTTGCTGCATGCAGATTTATGCAGTCTGCGTGCAGCAACATACCGACCATTATGAGAACGTAACGATATAAATCTCGAGCTTTACGATTAGGCGTAATTTAATCTTTCATCGTCAGAGAATTTTTAAACGAAGTACATTTCTCTTTTCTCTTTAATCTTCATTAGAAAAGAAAATTTCATCTTTGTTTTTTTTTTTTTTTTTTTTTTTTCCAAGAAGTTTGATTATTTTAATAAATAATTATGCTGTTTAATTTTTTCGATTTGGAATCGATAATTGAAAAATTAATTCATATAATGCAAAATATTGACTATAAATATTAGTTCGATTGATAAAAACCGCAATTTGGTTTGTTCCGTACGAGCGAGTTTCAATGTTACTATATATGTAATAATTATAATATAAATTATTATTATTATATAATTTATCGAAAAATATACTTTTTTTTAGATGAGGAGACATCAACTTTTAGTTTCTTAGACTGAAGTTTCGATTAATGAAATTCTCCAAGAATTAGATAGAAGAAAAGAAATAACGTTTTATTTACTATAAACCGACTATTCTTCTTTTCTGTTAAATTTGAAAAAGATTGTTCCTGTCTTTTTCAAATGATTATTTACAAACCTTTATATTTGCTCGAGAAAAAGTGTAAAAATAGTTGTGTCGCTTATACCTTTACGAGGAGATTGTACAGTTGGCTGACTATTGAAATTATCCATAATCGGGGCAATAAATAAATCTCTCCGTCTTTGTAAGAAGAAAGACCGTCCGATGGGGTCAACGAACGATCGGATTCCCGCGAATGCTTCTCGCGCGTGTAAAGAATACGGTATACAGGGTCAGTAGTAACACAACGAGTCGAGTCAGACGAGACTGATCTCCACTCTCCTTCTCTAACGAAGCGAATCTCTGGCGCTTTCATCGCGAATTCTGTTCGGTTCATCGGGTAACGTCCGGCCGAAAGTGGGACATACGTGTAAACGACGAGAAAACTCGCTGGGGGAGATTTTGAAGCGTCCAGCGGGTGTCCTTTGCACGTCGCTCAAAGCACTCCCCACACGGTTGGTATGCGGTATTGCACTCCCGCTTCCCGTGATAATTTCGGCGAAAGCAAACAGCAAAGAGCGAACGTCAAAAGGAACGCTGAAACGCGACACTTTATTTCCAGTCACGGCTATCGCGATTAATCCGTCGCTAATAGAGCCGAATTCGCATTCGGTTCCCTTTTGATCGGGAACGAAATTACCAGAGGGGATTGTTCTCCTTCCATCGAGCGATTCCCCCTTTTTTCAACGTATATTAAAGTCCAGTTCATATGTATATCGTTTTTTTATTTTTATTTTTAATCGCGTTCTTTGTTACTGCGTGTGGTAATATTTTATATGAAAATAATATACCGCGAGCAAAAGGGATGATAAATATGAAGATATACTTCCGAGATGCAATAAAGTTGCATCGAGTGTGCCATATATTTCTACTAAATTCTACTTATTTCAATTTGTAATTCAAATTTATTTGCAATCAGATTATTCATATCTGTGAATGCATAGCGCAAGTTGCTTTTACGACGAGCTTTTTGAACTTTATAAACATCATGCGAACTAAAATCGTGGTGTATGGTGACCCAATTCAGCAATACGGGGATTTTAATTTTTATATTTTTATTACGCTTACTATTTCTAAAGATTGCTCATTTAACCTAATTATTCGCGAAAAATGTGAAAGACGAGAAATAAAAGATCCATAAACGGAGAAGTGATTTGATGGTGAAACTTTCGCGAATTATTTGTTATGGAAAATTAGGAAGTTGTAGTTTGTGATTAATGTCGACTAATTTCATAATCGGTTGGGTATAGCTATGATAAATTTGCATTGACGTAAACCGCGCGCTCTCGTGCGACACATCCGGGAAAATGAATTATTCTAAGGACGAACTTCTCTCTTCGCCTAGTGTTATGTGATAAATAGAAATTATCCGCGCGAAACGCCCGACCGAGTGTCATCATCAGACCGCGCTGCATATCTAGGTTGAGAATGTTACTAGTTGCCGTTACTGCAGTTAGTTTAATCCTCTAATCTGCGTGCATTAATTATGATGCGTACATACGGCTGCGACATGTAAGAGCAATTTCGCATTCTAGCGTGGCGAATGAGCGTTAATACTCTCGTTTTACGTTAAGCGTACTTACCGTTAAGCGTGTAATAGCTTTTCATATGCGCCAACGCGCGTGTAATCTACACGAGGTTGAATTTTTTGGAAGCTGCTCTTCTACGGGTCAGAAAGTGCATCTCATTGCACTCTTTTAATTAGAATTCGACAAATATAGAAATTCACGCGAAATATGCCTCTCTCATCGTTGTCGAATTTTTATGTCGGATATACTTTGACGAGAGCCGGACGATTTTTTATTATTTTTATATTATTTCTCAAATCGTGCGTAAAAATATGAAAAATATATGTACTGTATAATCAATGAAATAAATAGTAGTGTATTTATATAATTTTTGTTTAATTATATATATTTTTTTATTAGAGAGTATATAAATGAATATTAATTATATTAGATTATGATTTATGAAAAGCATCGAAAGTTTGGTTTAAAAAATATAATATTGTTTGAAAAAATATAATATTTTAAAAATATGTTTTTTTAAAAAGCTAAATGCTGCGATACGTAAATTACATGTATTTTATATTTACTTCAACAAAAATGCATAGCCTTATTTGTTTCGTGAACGTGGCGTCATATTTGCTTGCACAATTTCAAGTAGTCACGCTCGTTTCTAATCAAAGTTTTGCACATAGTTAGCAAGTTCGTATGTTCTTTGGTATGCGAGAGATCAGAAACGTCAACGGTGAATTGTGCGTATACACGCGTAGTTATTTCGTTGAAGAAAGTCAAGTGTGCACGGTTCAACGAGTCTAATTAAGTTCGACGGCGCAGTAATAATTCAATTAAAGTACAAAACCGCGTTAACTATGGTACACACTTTCAAACTAAAAACAGCATCTTAAGAACTCACGCGAGTAATTTTGTCGAGTGAGGAATCTATTAATTTGTCACGAAAATACGAAGTTGCCCCAGTCTCCTACAACTATACAAGTCGATCTAAAAACTTGTAACAGACAAAAATGAAAGAGCAGACTGCGCAGAACTTTGAAAAAAATTTCTTCAATATTAAATAATAATTTTCATGTACTTCTAGAAAAAGAGGAAAAAACTTTCTTCGTGTTACGTAAAAAAAAAATTTATTATCTCAATTAGGAATGAAATTAGTGATTTTAAAGCGCACGAAACGTGCCTTTTTTTCCCTACGACAGGAAATAGCCTTTTTTGATCCAAATGCGCCTCTAATTTTCTCTTTTCTCTCGTGCGTCACCTGTGTTCTGTTTACTCTCTTGTGAACGCACCGTGCTGTCACAGAGCTCCAGGGATTCGCTAGGTGCAATGTCTCTTAAAAAATTCACCGTATATATCATCGGTGGGTCGTCGCGGCTTTGCAAGGTGTAGGTGGGATGCGCATAAATATTCATCGAACTATCCCGGTCTGATTGCGTCGCCGTGCTGTCGATGCACGCCAACTGCAATTCTATCGCGCTGCATCCGATCTTTTACGGTGCGATAGCGAAACTTTAAACACGTTACGGGACGCCTTACCATAAAATTCGAATTCTTTAAAATGAAAAAAATGCGAGCATCTTTTATAATAAAGTGTTGATGCTATTCAATTATTTACTTCGATTATTTACGGGGTGTCCCATAGGAAATTGCTGAAACTAATCAGCTGCATAAACTGGTATACATTTTATTCATATCCATTAAAAACTGCATACTCAAACATAAACTGTTTTCTCAATAACTGCATGCATTAAAAATGGCAGCTTAGTTAGGATATCTTATATATTAGAAATAATCCAAGGATACTTTGTATTATTGAAAAAAAAAAACTGTTGGAAATTTCACTTATCTCTCATTTTCGGAGACATAAACAGCTCGAGTGATGGGGTCAAAAGAACCCCGGCTCTTGCGGTGCCCTTTCGAAGACGTTGAACCGCTAAAGGAAATTGATCGGGCGTCGTCGTTATTTTGCGAGGATGGTCTGCAAGTGAGAGAGTTCATGAGCCGAAGCCGGAGATTCTTAAATATCTCCGACGGAAAAAGTTCGGCGAAACGCATCGGGGTCATGGCTATCGATCTTCTTGAGGGCCATCTTCTTGCAGCCATTAGCGCCGAATTACCAACCATTATCGAAAAGTTATATTGTAATTTAGTCTCCGTATCGCAATGATATATTTTGTCTCTGATAATGAACGAAATAAAAATTTTTCAACCAAATAGACGGTTTCCTATTTTGCACACGTAAATTATCTTTTTTTTTCTCTCCTAAAATATCGATATTATATATTATACAGATATGGACGGGACATGGTTATGGCGAGAATAAATCGAGAAACGTTGTGTGGGTAATTTATTTACAAGAGTAAAACATTATGTACAAGAATGCGTTCTCTCGCAAGAGAATCGGTGTGAAAACTCAGATTGTGAGAAGGATGCGAGTGGATGGGGGAACACAGTTTTTTTTTATCTTTTTTCGGACTAGTCGTGGGTGTAAATCATACGAGTCGTAAAGTCGCACGCGTGTACATGTGTGTTTGTGTGTTTGTGGTTTACATACATTTTTCTCTACTATTATCTGTAAGGTGTGTATGTGTGTTTATGCGTGTGTTACGTATGTGTTTCCTCTCTCTTTCTCCATGTATGTTTTTTTTTCTTTAAGTTTCAATTTAACACTTATGCCGTAAGTAGAAAGTACTTCGCCACGCTGGGGATGGAGAGGTCGGGCCACCCCTTTTTTTTTTTTATTACATCGCTCTTTTCGATTGAAACTTGCTTGTGACACATTTATTTTACACTTAACACTTTCCTCTCGTTCTCTCGCAAAATTTTCTCTCTATGGTCTCGGGAAAGGGCGCGGGTCATAATTCTGTTTTATCTGCTCTATATCCCTCTTCTTCCTAGACATTCTGCCCTCGATTATGTCTCCTCGCGTCAACATTCGCGCTGCGCATTATCATTAACTCTTATGTTTGCATCGCGTCGCCGTTTTGTTAGACATCGCGATGCAATTATCCTAAAATCTCAGCGACGACGATGTAATCTTTAATCCCTCTTTCTCTCTCTCTCTCTCTCTGACGCGTAAAATCGTCTCTAATTATAAACTCTAAGAAACCTCCGATTTCATCGTCGTTGAAATTCTTGAATAATATTGACCCTTTTGATCACTCGTGGATATGATAAGAACTATGTTCTCTCGTCCGTGCGGTCGTACGAAAATCATTTTTCAACGCCTGCCGTCTTCTTATCCCTCGACAATGAATCGTACCGAATGCTAAATCACGAAGCATAAACTAATTTCTTGAGCTAAGCCAAACAGATGCTGCCTGCTAATCAAGGTATTTGCGAATAGGGACCTTTTTCTTTATTTTTATTTATCTATGTACGAATATAGGGAGTGCAAAAGAAGCTTATTATGCGAAAATAACTACGTTGCATCACGCCAATGATCGCATTTTTCTTTTTCTCTCTATGATTAACCATGACTGCTGTAAACAACAAACCGGAATTAAATCGAGCGATATTGTATTCGCGATCGGTATTATCCCATATTATTCGATTGTTAACGTGTTTACGAAATGTATTGTAAAGAAAAATAATTAAAAATAAAAAAGTAATGCTTGAAGTACGATATATAAATAAAAACAATATGCGCGCCCGGTGAACCAGATGCATCGTCAATTAATAAAACGAGGGCGGGGATCTGCTTGTTATTTAGGCGAACGGTCATTAAACACGACGCGATAATTATTAATTTCGGACGCAATTGATGTTGAAAATATTATATTTGTGCAGTACGCCAATTATTGAAAATGTTTGCGAAGTGAAAACGCCTTGGCTCGCTCGCTCGCTCGTTATCATTACGCAGCTATTTAACGTTTCTCTATATACGTACAGTTCAACTGTAAATATATTGCCGCTGTCGCTACCGACAAATGTATGAAAAGTTTCGGCTCCGAGTTTTCGTTTTCTCCCTGTCTCTCTTCCCTCGAGTTTTTCGGGTGATCGCGGGAAAGTCGACTGAAAAGTTTGGCCTCTCACACTTTTCCTTAACCCTTAGACACAGAGCCTCTCTCCCCTTTATTACGTAAGAACTAGCTGTCTCGCAGAGATTATCTTCGTATTTTTCATCCTAGCGGCCAAACTCACAATTAAGTTTCAGATAAACGAGACGAGTGTTTTCGCGAGAGATTAAAAAGGAACAAGGATAAATGCCGCACAATGAGAGCGTTTAAAATACGACATGATTAAAGTAATAATGAGGCAAGTTTTCAGATTTTTCTTTAGAAATGATTAATTTACTGGAGCTAGAAAAATTCTAGTTATTACAACTGACTTTGTATATTGGTCTATTCCGTCCAAATTTATGATAACAAAAAAATAAAGAATAATAATGTCGAGAATAAAAGAAGAATTGCGTAACATTGAAATATCGTTCTTCGAAGATCGATTAATTAAACAAGATAAGAATCATGCAACTTGGAAAGTATCAAACTCGCAGATCTCGTAAACTTGATTTTCCGATCTCGGTAATTAAAATCCCTTCCTTCAATCGCTCGACTATCGTCACGTAATTTTACGTAATTTAATTACGTAGCGTCTTTCGGCCGCTAAATGACGAAACTATGCGGGATCTAAATTCGGAACGGTCTGTGCAAAAGAATGAACGTTAAGGATGTGTGTTTGGGCAATCACCTCGCGATGCGTGTCCATCGATTTGTAAATGTCTCGGGCGACCCTTCTGCGTTTCGCGCACATTATCTCAGTTGACCCAGAAGGAAGGCGAGCATCAGCAGCACCGTTTTGGAGTTGGGCGAGCCGGCTGCCGTATTTCCGTGCTGCATCGCGGCCGGATGTTCACCTGAAACAGAAACGAGCACTCGTAGGTAATACTCCTCCCTCTTTATTTATTCTCGACGCAGTAGTATGCGATGCACAGAGGCTTAAATTTTTCGCGGCTACGCGAATACATGATTCTTCCGGAAAATGAAATGTGTCAGCTCTCTGTGGAATCTTAAATCGCATAAATGGTTATAAATGCAAAACTATATATAGATATAACCTGTCACTCGGCTCGATATACTCGATCACTTTGTAAAATATTTATTTTTCGATCGCCTGCGGTTTTCTATTCGCGCCAGCTTTCATGGTGATATATACGTTTTGGATTTCAATATTTTAAAATATTAAGCTATATGATATATACATATATTAAAAAACCCGCTTTTATTTATTATAAAAAATTAGTTTTATAAATATTACATGATATTAAATAAGGCTATATGTATATATCATTTTTTTCCTCCATATATTTTTCATCTTTTTTTTAATAGGTATATTAATTTATGATTTAATAACCTGATCTTAATACACGATTTCTATCCACATCACGAACATGCAATTCTTATCGACTTCTATTTACGCAAAACGTTAGAAAATTGTAGATTTTCCACAGCGCGGTAGTAAAGGGCGACGTCATAATTCGTTCCTTAGCCGTTTGCATGACTAGATACGGGGCCTCGGAGCATCAATTATTTAAGAAGTATCTCTCTCTCTCTCCGAGGAAACCGAGGGGACGGGTATTTTGAGACGAATAGTCCCAAGTTTGACGTAATTTTATATGTCGGCGCCGGGAAGCCTCGACGGATTTGTAGAATTGGGGTCAGCGTAATATAGCAACATACAGTACAGGGGAAGTGACAGCGTGTTTCCCGCATGTCGGGGCATTCGCACCCTCGATTGATTTCTTGGCGAACAGTTCTAGAACTGGAACGAGCGTCGTGAGGGCGGTTTACGGCGACTTCTCGCCTTCACAGTTTGCTTCGACGAACAGCAGATACACGCGAGAGTGCACTACTCTCCTCCCTTATTATCCCCCTAGCGCGAGATTCAATATTGGATCTGACATTCCTGAGAGCTGATCAAACGTATAAGATTGCCCGGGAAATTGATCTCTAACGTTTTCGAAAAGTATACAGCTGTCATTCTTCAAGCGATCACAATTTTATATTTTTATTACACATCTTGGTATTGTAAACCGATTCCTTAGATTCCTTGATCGAGAAGCCGCCCGGACTTTCAGGGAACAGTGTTCGCCAGTCATAAATTGCGGTCATTCACCGATCAAGCGTATAAGATTGCTCGGGAAATTGATCTCTAGAGTTTTCGGAAAGTATACGGCTGTCATTCTCCAAGCGATCATAATTTTATATTTTTATTACTCATAGTGTTTGCTGTTATCTAAATCAAATTATATAGATGAAACTTTCGCGTCATCTTATATAGATAATAAAAATATGCATTATTTACATCTGCATTTTAGATGAAAAATCGAATAGTAAGCGATAAAAATTTACAAATAAAAATATGAATACATATATTTTTATATCCTTTTTATAATTTACATTTGTTTGATAAACTATTTATGTAAGCAGTCTTAAAAATTATCTAGATGAATCGCCACATATAATTTTATCTTTTATCTAGATATATTTAAAATAAAATTAGCTTCATCTAAGATGAATTTATATATTTTTATCTCATCTTTATCTAACTAATTTTAAAATTATCTAAGCACAACACCGATTACACATTCCCGTAGTATTTTACACCGATTCTTTATAGATTCCTTGACTGGAAGCTGCCCGGGCTTCAGCAAACGGTGTTTCGCTAAACAGTCATAAATCGCGGTCATTTGCGACGTTGCATAGGAATGCAGGAATGAAGTGATGCATCGCACGAGAAGCCGAATGAAGCGGCATTAGCCTTGTTCAACCTCTATGTCGCCGCGATTACAGAGTCGGCGCGATTAATATGCATCGCGCGAATTCACGAGCTGTTACGTGCGCATTTTTGAAACAATCGCGGTATACGTTTCTATTAACTGTACACGTTCATTTGTCTCTCGCCGCACGATCGGATTCGTTATTTAGTTTTATTCGGCTGCTCGAAATAACAATCGCATTTGCATCTATTCTATCCATAATATACGCGCGTGCACCCCCGAGTAGTTTAACATTGATAATCGACAGATTATCCCGAGAACTGACTCGTCACGAATATTGGCTGTAATTACTTTTTAACTGTCATAGAAATCAATTAAAGAAAAAAATTGAATTTTTCTTCTAATAAGTTCAAAAGTCGTGATTCTCGGATACTTTTAGGCATCTTTGTGCAATAAAAAAATTTTTATTGTATTAACAAAAATTCTGTTCGAAAACAGAATTACTGGTTGAAAAACAAATTAGTTGTTTGCGCAAACAAGACATTTGTTGTATCAAAAGGAATTCCGGTCGATTCAACCAGTAATTCTGTTTCGTCCATTTTCGAACCGAATTTTGGTTAATGCAACAAAATTTTTTCCCAGTGCGTAATATATTCGACCGAATGCGAGAACGCGAAATCGTGTCGTTTCGCAACGAGCTCTATGATAAGAGAATGATGAGGGACTCGTTGAAAATGCAACGTGGAGCTGCGTAATTAACTGTATAATTAATCGAGAATTGAAATTTGACGGAACTCGGCGATTTCATGCCACGACGGAATAATGGAGAGTTATTAATACATCCGTAATACACGTAACGCGCGCGGCAAAGGCGAATTCGGCCCAGTGGTGGGCTGCGGAGAATGGGACAAAGTATAATTAGCCGAATATACGAGCTAAATGAATTTTGCATCGCCGTTTAGCGCGCGTTCCACGGAGAAAACGGGTCCTGATTACTACAGGCATGTCAGATATACGTAGATAGGAATGTAATATTCACATATACATATTTATATGAAGTTGTCAATTTCGATGTGAATAATTCCGCATAAATTTGAAGAAATTGAAAAATCGGAAAGTGAACCAATTTTTATAATTCCGCATAAAAAATTGCTCATCGTGAAACGACGAAGATTTTAACCCGTTTAAACGAAATATGTCGTTTTAAAGGAGAGCGGAGAACATTTAATAAATAGCTCTCTTAAATATTAAATTTTAGCGTTTAGTACGCATTAGCGACTCTTTGAAGAATAGAACGCGCTCCGCGTTATTCGTTCTCCCTCGCTCTCGGCGTACGCTCGCGTAATTGCATTTCCGCAAGTGCATTTGGTTCTGAAGGACATGCGATTTTGCGAAAATTAATGTTCTTCTAACGGGCGAGACAGGCGTGGAGCGACCTCCGGTGAAAGAAGTAAGTCGAGACGAGTCGTACAAATCGCGCTTCGCCTTTGCCTCCTCTTCCTGTTATGCATATCTGAATATTTATCTTTCCGGAATAGTCGGCGCGCGCGCGCGCATCCATCGAGCATGGAGAAGAGATGAATTCATGCACTTCGCCCGAGATAATTGCACTTCGGACGGGTCCGCGGCTCATTTGCACTGCCGGAAGAAATGCGCTCCCCCTATTTTTTTTTTTTTTTTCGACGATAAAAGACGGCACTTCATTCGTTATTTGTATCAACTTCCGCTTGCTGTCGTATGCCATTTCCGGCTTTCCGAAAGCCTCGACGGTGCAAACTGCCCGAGCTAAAAAACACTGCCGCCCTCGAAATAGAGGGAAAGTCAAAGGCGACGCGTAATAAAGTTGCATTTCTAATTCTTTTTCCAATTGCAACGTGACGTTACGTTTTGAATTATTAACATGGTTTTTTGATGTTTAATTAAGTAGGAAATAAAAATTTTATTTTTGTAATTAATATTGTATTTAAATGTCACACATATGTGTGTGCAAATTTTATGTTAAAAAAATGCATAAAAATTGGGTGCAATAAAAAAAAAATTAATACTATTAAAACTTTTCTAATGAGATTAGGTAAATAGATAAGCTTGTGTTTTCCTCGACACACAAAGATCTGTTCATAAAGATTAGAATCGTCCACGATACCACGAAAATGCTTTCGAAGGCGATTTCATTCCCGATGGGATTTCTGGATAGACTCATGAAAGAGGAGTGATTATCTTTTTGTCGCGTATTATATATATATGTGTAGTTTCCAGCGGATTTCGAAAATTGGATCGCAAGCGTCGCATGAAGCTTGCCTTTGTCCTTGTAATAGGAATAAGGACGATTCTAAAAAGTAGTATCTCCATTTTGTCGAGCTGACAGAATAAAAGAATTATGTACTTTGTCTCACAATAAGCTTTTGTTGGGCGAGTGATATATATTTGAAATAAAATACTCTTGATGCGTTGAGAACTGTTTATTACTCGGAGAAGAATCAATAATGAGTGCGCGTCTCTCGACCGGCGGTCGTCTTATATACCGCCGTCAAAATAACCGACGCTTCAAATCGCGCCAATCACGCGAGGACACGAATTCGACAAAAATCTCAGACGACGAACGGATAAACATGTACGGAAGACATACAATACAAAAGAATGTAAATACCGAGACAATGCCTTATAATAATACATGCCCGCAATAACAAGACGGACGACGGATAACTAAATAAGTCGAGCCCAACGAATAAATGCCAACACTTTTATAAAAATTAATAACACATTATATTGAAGCTTTCTGTATTTGTATGCACTTATGTGCTTTTTCAACTATGTTCTAATAAATTCAATTAAACGTTTATAAAGGGATCAATAAAATGTAAAATTCATCTTAAATAAGATATGTGCAAATTAAAAATATTTTATTCATTAGATATTATAATTAAAGTAAATATAAATCTTTGAATATAGTCTCTTTTAATATACTGTACGTGCCGTTGAGTGAAGTATTTCGTCGACAATAATAGGAACTTCAGTTCGTTTTTAATACAATACTAAATTCTGATTGTCGGAGACAGTACATTATGCTTTACATTTCTCAAACGACGTTGCAATTTAATGACGACCAGCTTCCATAAGAATCTTAATAACATTTCTTC